AGTAGTAAAATTGTATCCAGATGTAGGTAATCTGTTAAATATCCAGAATGAAAGAATCCTACATTTCGGGTTATATGATGGTTTTCCGGATATGTTCTGATCTGTGTGTGTTCAGCTGCTTGAATGAATTCATCGCTATGAGATCACTCATATTAAGATTATTAAATTGAAAAATATTTTGTGTATTAATAACTAAGTTTGTCTCGATTTGCTATTTCAACTGCCGTAGACAATCAGAGCTATTCTCCTTAAACACCACTTTGTTACACGGAAAACTGGCTCCTCGTCGATTTATTAAGCCCACCGAGGCTATTGAAACTAATCCAATTCTTTCGTGTAATTGCCTAATCTTTCGAGTTTAAATAGCCGGCGCTTAATCTCAGATGCTGGTAGCCCTCCGTCAGGAACAAGGTGAACTAACCGTCCCTGAAATGGTTATTTTTTAAAGTTCCCCATTATAAGCCGCGTCGATGGGGCGGGAGCCGAGGGAGGCTAGATTTAGAGCCAATTTTAGCGAAACACTCGCTTTATATTGATTGTTCGTAATATTTCCCGCGTGCACTCATAATATTGAATGTTGAACATGTATGTTTTAAGTCGTTAGTAGATTTTTTTAAGTATTTGGAGTTTCAATGCATAATCCAGAGGCATCTAGGCTATCAAAGTTAAAATTTATTTGATCAAAACGTCAAAAAACTACTACCAGTCGACTAAATAAAACTTTCTCAAAAAGAACTGAAAAAAAAATTTGGGTTTTTAAATGATACATACACATTGTTAAGTACAAAATCAGCAGCAGCCACAAATCCTTGTCCTCGATGTAAACATTATAATCAGCCCTTTCCCGAATGGTAGCTTTTGCAAAACTTTTGAAATTGTTTATACTCAGTTGTTTGTGGATTTCACTTATTATTATTGTGGCGATTGTAATGATTGCGAATAAGGACCCGTTAGTTTGTATTGTGACGTGTCCACAGTGCCAATATGTGTCAAGACACGTAACACGAACGTACTGTGCACCCTAATAACGTTAATACTACTTCGATATTAGCTGCCTTAACGCTAGTTTTGTGTGTGCCGTGATAGCTCAGTGTCCGGCCGCTCGCCTTTAATTCAATATACTTGAGCAACCAATGAAGTTTTTAACTTTAAGTGCTGACTTATCACGTGCTCCGCGGTGAAGAGAAAACATCGTGAGGAAACCTGCATATTTTTGGTATAATAACAAAAACAAAATCGAAGATATGTGAAGTCCGCCAATCCGCAATGGAGCCGCGTGGTGGACTATGCCCTGATACCCTCTGTATAGAGGAGGCCTTTGCCCAGCAGTGGGACATGTATAGGCTGTTACTTTACTTTTTATTTACTTTTTACGCTAGTTTTGAATAGACGTGTAACGTAAACATCAATTTACAATAAGACATTTAGTTTATGTCGAAGATAGTGGGTTTTATTTTTGAACACGCCCAATTTTAAGGAAACAAATAAAAACCGCTTAAGTATTTAACTTAAAGTAGTTAACTGATATCCACGAAATGAGAGGGCTTCTTCTAAACACAATGGAAGAAAAGAATGAACTACGTTCTTGAAGATCGTCAAGTCGTATTGGGCGGAAACTAATGGCATCACCGTTGTTTTAACAGTAACCATTATTGGCTGTAAAATCCGTGAGAGGAGTTCGGCGGAGGACTCAATTATAAACACCAATTAAATAATTATAGAACAAGTTTCAAGGTCAATACAGGGCGGGTCATCAATTTGATTTTACGACTCGAGGCCATTAAAATTATCAAAACTATTCCATTTGCATAATTAATGCTAGGAAAGTGCCGTTGTGGAGCTGACGAGTTGCGCAAGGTGCGTAATTAAGTTGATCGTTCTGTATCCGGGTCTTGAAAGGCCGTGTGCGATACCAGTGTCCTATTAACGTCAAAGATTATGTGTATCATAGAATAAATGTACGGACAGGTGGACTTCACTTATCTGTAATTATTTTTTATCATATCTTAAGTGCTGTGTATATGTATTTATGACATATTCTCTGGCATGACAACTATATTATTTTACAGAGATTATCAAATCTAGGTTGGCAACTAAATAGTGTTAGGTCTGCATCAAATTCTTCTACTCCAACACATTCCTTCGTTTCGGTTTCTTATTTTTGATTTAATTAATGCAACTAATGCATTATAAACGTGTAAAACGTCACAATCGTTTATCATGCAAGCGTATGATATTAACCATTACTACTGAACAGACACAAACCTCTTCAAAGATTAAAGTTGCAGCTCGAAACGTCGTAGCGAAACGCATCGTCAAAAGATAACGCAATCCTAAGTGACGAAACACAGCGGCATAAACTTGAAACTTATCTTCCTAATGCCAATCCAGCGCTGACCCAGATCTAAAAAATATGGACGATTTATACAAAACAAAACACACTTAAAACTTAACTTTAGCTATGCTCAATAAACGACCTCGAATCTAAAGATTCACATGATGAAGACTACAAAGATGAGGAAATTACGAGTAGTAAACGTTTTTGGGCTAACAAGTCTTTGTCGTTTGATGATCGTGTGGATCTTAGATTTACAAGCAGATCGATTATCGATAGCAGACAATAACGGAATGGTGTGGAGCCGTGTATTAATCGAAACCAAAAAGACATAACCTTAGTCACTTATTAAATTATTATGACGTGTAAAATCTGTTTAATGGTAACATCAACTTTTAGGTGTGATTTGGAGTAAAACACATTGTACTCGATAAATTAATATAGATTTTAATTATTTGACTGAAATATACTTAAAAATATGTAACAAATATGTTACAGTTCTGCACACAATATGTGGACTCTTCATAAGTTATTTATTAAAAAAAATATATATAATTTCTTATATGATTTATTGCAATATAAAGAGAACCACAGTTTGCTTTACAGATTCAAACAGCTTAATCATTTTTTGGAGCCTTTATATAATTATTTATTTTTATGAAAAATAAAAATAATTAATAAAAATAATCTAAGTAATCTTATAATGATAGTAGATAATAAAACGCCCACTTATTATACCTCTAATCTAGTATGATTAGAGGTATAATAAGTCTAATAATATACTAGCCGAAGTCAACAAACAGATTATTCATATGAAATGTAACTAGTATAGTGGCTTAACTAATCGCTCGTAGGAGTAAAATCCAGCGATTCGATCTATGCTTTTAAAGACGTATTTAATGCCGCAAAATGATACAGGAATATTAATTATTTTTAGTCGTGTAGTGGTTATGGTTTGATGATATAGTTGTCATCAAACTTAAATACCAATAATGAATTAACGTAACAACCAAAAAGTACACCTACGAATTTTTTCGTGCGGATATGATTGACTAATGAAAATATCTTTTATGTTTTAGTTCTGACCCTTTCCCGATCCAGTGCATCTTTTAACACATTTTAACAGTTGTAGTGTTAAAAATTCAAAAGCAACACGATGTGATTATTTGAGATATAAAAAACAAATTGAGATATAGATGATAAAAATAAACATTATATATAAAAATGTACATGATATTTATTTGGATCCATATTGATGATCCATATTATTTGGATATCGAACATGTAAAAGTTGGTGTTGCAATTTTAACAGCGTTTAGGGATGTTTGAATGGACAGGCAAAAGGTTTGATTTATGATTTGTATCAAATTCATGTGATGTAATAAAGGCAACAACCTGCATTCCTCAAGACAAAACTGTGATAACCTTAACCCAGTTTTGATATTTCCATTGGTCGTTATTTCGCGGACATAGCGATTTACATATAAATCGTTTGTTTTCACAAAGCGCCCGTGTTTGCTGATTTATCGTTTATCAAACAGAGCCAAACGTTGGAGCCAACCAGATAAAATACCGCCAAGTTGTATCGCATTGAGGATAACTTGTACAACTGGAGGTATTATGTACACGTAATCAGTTTAAGTAACAATTGGTCGAACATCACAAACGGGCGTTTTTTCCAATGTTAGATATTCTTTTTATATGGTTTTTAAGAAATAATGTTGTTGTTTGCGCATGGAGCTAGGCTATGATATCGTATGATCATTATCAAGTGAACATTACATTATTACTTACACAATATTACTTTACATTACGTACATTACTTTTATCAATCGATTTCTTTGCTTATCCATTCCATGCTACTTCCCGCGGAGATATTTATGCTCAACAATCTTTAGGCTTACGTTTAAATGTCACAGTTTAATACTCTTTTCTCCTCTTTTCTGCAGATGCCTTTGAGTCGCGAAGTGCACTTACCATCAGGCGAACAAGTTGCTCACTATCCACATTCTCCATAAAAATTTAAAATATGTAGACAAGATATCTCTCATTCATCGACACCGTTTATAAATTGGTTCGTAAACGTGCTAGCAATTAGCGATCATTTTCCCCGCTCGTTTGTGTGTCCCGATGGGCGCGAGTCAGTGCGCATTCCGACGACCCACATTCCACCGTCGACACGTGGTGTAGGAAGTGGGCACCGGAGCCAAGTGGTACCGACGTGCGCTTAGCATACGCCGCATGACATCAGACCCCGTGTTGGCGCATCCAGGCAGCGGTGTTGTCTCCGCATGTCCGAAACTCGAAACGTCTAGACTGATTCACGATCGATATCTAAACAGAAATTAGCTCTTCTATCCTACCTTATCTAGCATAATCCGTAGACTGGTTATTAGGTAAAAGTATTTATTTAGAATCTGCCCTAACATCTTTTTGCAAATCTGCCATTTGTATGGTAACATGACCAAATGACCAAGCTTTGAGTGGGTAAACTTGGTGAAAATAGCAATAGTTTGAATTTGTTACCTCTTTAGGTTTACAAGGCGCGATATTGGCAAGCAAAATTGGAATGTACGCGTATTTATAATTGGCATCCGCTGCGTTCTGCCATTCATCAGCGCTTATTGGGGACGGTGCCGCTTGACGCGGGCGTCATCGTAAGTCAATATCTGAATGGCGAGTCGTAGGTGCCAATTTGAGCGTGGCCGCGCTGCCTGCGAATAGCGTAATGCGATTTGTGGGACAGGCCGTCGCGGCCGTGGGCGTAGATTATGACACGTCTCGTTATGTGCGCATTATTGTTTATCGGCCCCGTGTGCGCGAGGATACCTCCCTCGTTACAACACTGCGGTATTAGATAATACGCACAGTCCATAATTAAATAAAGTAATAAACAACTGATTATTCTATTTTCTTCCATGTCTCAGATAAGGTTCATCTACGTTGGCATTTATTTTCTATAAACTTGAGCATCTGACATAGAAATATTGGGCCATACGGAGTATTGTTTTTTTTTTGTTTATACATAGAAATATTGGGCCATACGGAGTATTGTTTTTTTTGTTTATAGCAATAAAATGTAATAATGATGTAGGGAAAAAAGTGAACAATATAAACTGAACCAACGTCCAACATAAAAAATCTTTGTTAAGTAAACATTTATCACACTTCGTATTTCAAATAATTGTACAAGAAGTCAACGTGGATTATTTTTTTCCATTTACAAAAGCGCCAGTGCTTGGCAACTAATCCATCTGGTAATTAGCAGTTATGTAGCCTTTGGTGGTAAGCGGACTAGCTCATAAAGAGCCTATTGCCTACGTGCCATTCAAATTGGTGCAGAGACAAGTCTAGAACTGCTCCGAGTAACCAGTTGAGGCGCGGCACACCCGTGGGAGGGCACAGTCCACCAGGTGTGTTGTCTTCAGTGTTTACTGCGCCGCATTTCGCAGATTTATAGCCTGCATAGAGCAACGCACGATATGTCATTGGAATAAACTGTGTTGTCAGAAAGCAATTCTTCTTCTAAAGAGTTATTGGATAAGTGTTGGCTTACTTCCTATATACATGTACATAAATATAGAAACCCTTACACTTTTATAGGGAGATATAATTGGTTATAAAATGAAAACGATCCACCGAACAAGCTTCAAAACAGTGGCAATTAGTGAGCCCGTCTGATTTAAACGGGCTTTGACACGGTGATTTTTGTTAAAAACACCGGCCAAGTGCGAGTCGGACTCGCGCACGAAGGGTTCCATACCATTATCTATAAAAAATCATATCTGTTGTATGGGAGCTCCACTTAAATTTTTTTTTTCTATTTTTTACCATGCCTTGTTATAGCGGCAACAGAAATACATCATCTGTGAAAATTTCAACTGTCTAACTATCACGGTTCATGAGATACAGCGTGGAGACAGACGGACAGACAGACAAACAGGCAGCGAAGTCTTAGTAATAGGGTCCCGCTTTACCTTTGGGTACGGAACCCTAAAAAAGCAATGTGTTGGACTTGCGTCTCCAAACCGCTAGTCGATGCCACCTGGCAGATGCCACCATTGCATTTCAAAACATAAATATATCGTAAATGTAGAATAATAAATCCATTACCACTATAAAATGTGTAGTAATTAGCAAGAAAAGGCAATTTCTGCAGCCAGTCGTAATCAATTTGTGGCAAATTGAACACAACGACTCCAATCTATCGGAGCTATTTCAATATAAGCTGTTTACATTTACTCGAACAATATTACAATTCCACCGTTCTAGTTGCAGATAAACCGGTTCAGCTAATTTCATTGTTTACAAACAATCGACCTCTCACTTTATTCGCTTTGAGTTTTGGATGAGCTTAATTCATAAATGACTAGTTTGTGATGTAACACGATGTAACATGTATAAACCCTGTGGTGTGTAATTTTGGTAGCTTTTATTTTTAAAATGTAACTTTTAGATTCGACTACATAATTAAACAAGAAAGAAACAAAAAATAAATTTAATTTAAATGTATAACGTATATCGTTTAAATATATAAATGTTACATTTGATTCCAAGATTTCAGGACAAATTTTTAATGCTTTATATGTCAAAATAACTTATATACACTTTCATATTTGCAAATAAATACATTTTGTAGAAATATAGGTATAATAAACACACTGTCAAAAATTTAAAACAATAATTTAAGCTTTGATATTATTTGAAAATCGAACACACCCTTACTTTTTATGTGACGTTTTAGAAGTAGAATAAATTAAAATCTTATTAGTACGATTTTTTACATTATAACTCAGGATGTAAAACACCTCACCTAATAACAGGTACGGAAATAATACAGGCTGACAAAATACGAGTGTGCATTAAAAGTATTAACACTTTGATTAAAAGTAGAAGCATTAATTCTTGTTAGTAGAGTGGGTCGATTTTTATTTTTTAATGTAATGTCATTGTAACTTTTTATCTTGTAACTATTATTAAACTTAAAAAGTAAATCTTCAATATGATACTTCGTGCAAAATTGCGAATGATAATCTGTTTAATTAACTTGTTACGCCATTAACGCAAATGATTTTATTGCAAAACGTCGAGTTCTCGCCAAATACATTTAAGTGAGAGAATCCTTTCAAATACGCGTCTCGGATCCGCGCGCCCTTCTTTCGGAAGTACTTTGCCCCTGCTCATTAAGGAAGGGTTAAGATTGAGCTGGGGGTATTTAGGACCCTGCGCATTCGGTGCAGTATTTCAACTCGAATTAGCGATTTAGGGTAACGTGCTGAATTATTAACTTCGCGATAAGAATTATGTTGTCTGCCCACGGGGGTGGCTCCGCTAACTTTTTCCTGTTTAACCCACTAACTAATTTGAGTCCACATTTATGTGGTATCACTGCAATTACTCAAATTAGTTGTAGTTTGGTTTGCCCGAGCATACCATTACGTTATTTTTAATAGTACCCTTTAATGAGATCTCAAATGCCACATTGCACAACGTCAATTAGGAACTGGCCGAATGAACGGTCATTTTCCAATGCACAGCGTGGTAATAAAACGCACGGTCTTCCGAGCTGTCCGAGACACGTGTTTGTATCGATAGACCAACGAGTAATATGTGGGACAGACGCGTCATCTCTATTGTTATGTTATTGGTCATTCAAGAAGGTAGACGATTTAGCGTTCTATAGCATATTTTAGTAGAGAGCCAATCGTCAACCACCAATAATGCAATACGCGTTTGAATGGTGTTATCGTGTCCTTGTTCTTACTATTTTTTAATCGTGTTTTTAACCACGGACACTTTCGAGATGTTTCTTAGCTATAGTTTGAGTATTTTTTGTTTCGGGGATTTAGTGAAAATTTATAATATTGTTTTATGGAATTTAAAACTTCGGGAAAAGTTCATTGGTCAGCTTCGTTCGATGAGTTCACAAAAGTTAAATTTTATGTAACTAATAAGAATAGAATTTTTTTTGTTTTTTTTTAAAACATTGCCTTTAGTTTAGGATAACATTATCCTGTGTTTGTAAGGACATTTTACAAACATAAATTTCACGAGGACCAACGCCCAAATGCGAAACAACTATCTGTGGGTCACACAAATAGTTGTCCCGTGTGGGAATCGAACCCACGACCCACGAGGCCGAAGCCAATACCTTGAAAACTTCACCACGGATTCAAAATGTTACTGTTATTCTGCCTTTTGTTTTAAAACGACAACTTTTATCCCTTATGAGGAATTTCTAAATCTTTTTCTCCGTCTGAACGTTGCGATATAACAGTTATCTACTGTCAAAAATCAAGTTCTCAAAACTGGCAATTTGAACTGAGCGTCGATATACCAATCAGTTCACTTCTCCTTTCAAACATAAGAACAGATAAATTATGTTAATACTGGTTACGGTAATAACGACGTTTGATGAGACGTCTGCGTCTTAATCTATGTCCGGAGGTAGCTCGAGGCTGTGCGGCCGAAAGTCCGTCGAAATAATTTAATTAGGGCTGCGATGACCGGCGGCTGGCGCAGGTGCTTTTGCCGCTCAGAACACGCCCCGCTTGCTTAGCGCTCCTTCATGGACTTGTCGATGACGCAGCCCTGGAAATCTTGGAGTTATTTAAACTGGTCTATATAAAAATTAATGGTCCGTCGTTTGTCCTGTATGTATATCCTATTCTATATTCCGTGCTTATCTAATCTAATTGCGATGAAACAGATAAAAGAAAAGCTACTTAAAAAATTCCAACTTGAAATATTATAAGACTTAAGCGTCTAAAGAAGTTAAGTAGTGTCGCTATAACATATTTACATCTCACGTTTTGTTCATACGATGGTTCAAAGTTTAGAAGCGTCAATCCACATTTCACATCATTATCCATGTGGTTGATTAATGATAAGAAATAGGAGATTTTTACCGTGTTAAAGGTATGCAACAGCTTCCGCTGTTGTACGAATAAGCAGGCTTGTCCGGCGAAGTACATCGGAAAGCGAACAGGCGGTTCACCTTACGTTAAGTGAATACCACCGCCCCTTGGGATGCCGATGCGTTGCCACATTATAATTAAGTGGGCTCCGGCTACCTCACTAACCAGGCGAGACGCAGTAGTATTCCACTATAAAACTTCCACTTAAAGTCGGTCTTCTGTGTAGTACTTACCCGGACGGACGTTTTTTTTTATGTGAGAAAGTTGCAAACGAGCTGGTGGTTCACCTGATGTTAAGTGATAACCGCCGCCGATGGACATTTGCAACACCCGTAGGGTTACAAATACGTTGCCTTTAAATAAAGTGGGCCCCGGCTACCTCAGTCATCAGACGAAACGCAGAAGTATAACACTTCTACTTTACGCCGGTCTTCTGTGAGGTCGTGGTACGTACCTGGACGGACGTGCCCATTCGTGCAGCAGCAAAGACTGTTGCGTGGGCCTACCACAGTCATATACATTTAAAAAAATATTACAGTTACCCACGAGCTAAGTTACTACTGCCAGAGCTATATAGCGAGCCAATATGGCCATCTTATTTATACGAAGTAAAACGACGCAGTGACGAGTCAAAATTCTTTTAACTCTCGATTAGCGTTATCAAGAGGGGAAACCACTAGTAGTAAAGCGTACTGTTTATGCGCCTCAAGCTGCGCCGTCGTAGGATTATGTGGTAATCAGCGTTTAGACGAGTGGTACTCGAATCGAATCGGGAAACATAAACTGCGAGTTTATATGCACACTACGCGCAGAGATCATAACGCCACTAGTGATGCACCGCGACCGATTTACCAGAGACCACAAAATCATAACCGACATAACAGAGTCAACGAAAATGTAATGATCTGTTTTTGAATTACGTTATTTTTTTTATGTCAAAAGTTGCCAAGTGAGCAGA